CTGGCTCACCCCCTGGCCCAGGCTAATCCCAGCATCACACAGAGGCTGGACTTTCAGTGCCTGTTGGGCTGACGGGATGACCAGAGTCAGTGAGGAGAGTCAGCAGATGGTAAGCTCGCTTGGGTCCGGGGAGCAGTGGGTTCAGTCCTAAAACTTTCTACTGCTATCACTAAGCAAGTACGCATATATCCCTTGCAAGTCCAAGGTCCCTTAGGGCTGCCATTCTGAATGGCCACATCAGGCATTTCAGGGCAAAGCAGTGATGAAATCAGGTGCATCTACACTGCTGGTTAAGCTTGGGACCAAGCCCAGTGCTGAGATGAGACAGCCCTACTGTAAATTCTGCAAGCCTAGAATAACGGGTTGCCTAATCCTGAGCTCTAGTGCTGCCTGCAGAAGGTGGGCACCAGCGTTACCACGGGCCCAGGCTCATTCTCTCAATGCTTTTGGTCTACCTTGGTACAGGCATAGTTGAGCATACCACATCCCTGCCTGTCCGCAAGTTCAAACCCAGTTCTTCCTAGTCACAGCAGAGGCTTTGTACAGGCAGCAGTGGGGACAGAAACACACAGGTCTGGGACATCAGACCTATTCTTCACCTCAATACATGGATGTGACTGCAGAAGTTAATAGGCAACAAGTTACTAGAGAGACACTTCCTGTTTCTTCTTCCATCCATGATGCTCTGCCCCTAATAAGATGCAAGCTATGTTTTTCAGACAGTAATTGCCTACTAGGCAAAGCGTACCCCAAAAAGCATCTAAGCTTCTTTAGCCAACATTGACCAGAGGCAACAAGGGCTCACCAGCACCCCTGTTGGTGCTCCATCGATTCACCACTGCAGCTTTGGTGGTGGAACAGCCCAAGGCCTTGCAGCGACAATAGGGCAGGCAGGAGAGTTTCCCAGGTCAGGAGCATTCCTAAGGGGTTAAGCAAACACCACAGGCAAGCAACCCAACCCATAGACATCCAAATTGGATCAGCAGGAGCTTGACGCAGTGGTGACCACACTCTGCAGCCAGTGCCAGGAAGGAGGATCAGTGTCACCTACAGGAATGGTGTCTGGCTTTGATACCCGCCATCCTTCCCAACCCTTCTACTTTCCTTGCACTGTAGGAATACCTGTTGATTTTTTATTTTATTTTTTCCACCCAGCTTGGTGAGGATGAAGTGGTCGCACAGGGGAGATCAGCAGTCCGCAGCAGCTCCATGAGAAGCTCAGCACAGCTCAGCTTTCTCCTGCTCAGCTGGCAGAGACCAAGCAGAGGGAAAATTCCTTTGGCCTCCTGGCTTCACCTCCCAGCTACTTCACAGACTCAATCCCCTCAGGGAAGAGTGCCAGATTTGACAAAACATAAGGCTTTTGCGTTAAACATGGGCAGATTGGAACATTCGAAGGACATGGGGCAGGACTTATGCATGCTGCTGAAGCAATTGAAGTAGAAAACCTTGGAGCTGGAATTAAGACCCAAAGGAAGGGAGGGGGATCAACTGGCTCCACTCTGGTCCTTGAATAAGTAGGTGCATTATCAGCACAGGTACAGCCACACAGAAAAGCTGATTGTGGAGGTCCTTAGTGACAAACATGGACCAGGAGGCATGAGCTCTGCTATGCCCATCTCCAGCTACATGTTGCAACCTGGGTGCACATCACCACCCCCCAGGACAGGACAGATGCTCAGACTGAAGCAGTTTAACACAGCGGTCAGTGGCAAAGCTTGCAAGGTGGGCACAGAGCAGCTTCTGACAAGTCCATGGGGCTTGGCTAGCAAGTTGCTCTCTGTCACCGCATGAGGTACAATGCTGAATGGAGAGCACATCTGCTAAGAAATCATCCTGGCATGTTTCTGGGTCACCCTGCAAGTTTTGTCAACCATCCCTCACAAAATGCAGCAGGCATTT